TCCGCGGCGGCCGCAAGGCAGCCCTGCCGATGAAAGCTTATTTAGCTTTACATCTGTGCCGAGCGAGTATCAGGGTTGCTTTCAGAAAACCCCGCTGGCAAGTGCGCACTTTATGCTCACACTTTTAGCCATAACAATTTCCAATGATGAAAGCAGCGAAAGGCCAGAGATCAGCGACTGCAGCTCAAAGCCACTCTTCTGTTGCATTTGCTCCCAAAATAAAAAGGAGCCAGGCGACAATTTCACATGCGGGAATCCAACAGTGACGATTTGTCCATTTGTGTGTGTAGACGGGTGTCGAACAGCAGGTGTCGAGCAACGACGGTTGCAATGCTGCTAAGAAAAAAAAAAAAATCTACTGGGACCTGAAAATGGAGCGAACGCTTCTTAACACATTGTATCCGTAAAAGCCCGGCGCCTCCCTAAAGACGGTCCCCTTTTTGAAACCCGACAAATCAAAATGGCAGGAGCGTTGCAGCCGAGTGGAAAGAGCCAAATAAACGGCGCCGCGGAATTCGTCCATGCATTTTTAAATACGCACCAGCTCTATGCACGCGCAAGCCATTTTGGCTTAACATTGCTTTAAATTGAAGTGCACGGCCCAGAATCTTGTCCTGTCAGGACGTTAAACCAAACACGCGGTAAGACAGATGTTTGCCGTTGCACTTTACTGCGCACATACTTATTGTATATGGCCCATGTAATCAGACTTGAAGCCTCGACGGGCGCCTCGGTTATGGGGAGCGCTCGGCACGCTTGTCTTCCTCGGCAGACGCGCCGCACGAACTGCCCAGCGTGGCCTTTAACGGCGGCTTGAGAATCACGGCCAATGCACACAACCGCGGCAATTAACGCTAAAACAAATGCTACATTTCGCCCCCGCGCTTTCGGAAAGAATGTAAAGATGACTTACGTTTGTCTGCGCGTGTGCTAATATGCACTGTGACCCCACGTTCAGGTTTTTCAAGATACGAGCCTTTGCCCAGACGATTTTCCCCAGTTTATTCTCGAACTAAACACAAAACAAAGAGAATTTCATGTAGGTTATTTAAAAGATGACACCATTTAGCTTACGAACAGCATCGGTTTTAAAACCCCTGACACAATGGCTATTTGAACACAAAAATTTGGCAGATAGTGGCTCGGTGGACGAGTGGTTAGTGCATCGACCTCACAGTGCAGAGGTCATGGGTTCGATCCCGAGCTCCGGCCTTCCTGTGTGGAGTTTGCATGTTCTCCCCGGGCCTGCGTGGGTTTTCTCTGGGTACTCCGGTTTCCTCCCACATTCAAACATGCATGGCAGACTGATTGAACACTCTCAGTTGTCCCGAGGTGTGAGTGTGAGCGCGGATGGTTGTCGTCTTCGGGCAGTAGGCGGGGTACACCCTCAACTGGTCACCAGCCAATCGCAAGGCACGCATCGACAGGACAACCATTTGCCCACATAATCACACCGAGGGACAATTTACAGTGTTCATTTAATGTTTTTTGGAATGTGGGAGGAAACAGGAATACCCGGAGAAAACCCACACAGGATCGGGGAGAACATGCAAACCCGACATACATGATACAGAGCACTTTAAAAAAAAAAACACACATTTGGTGGGAGGCTGTAACAGATTAATGCAGTGGTTCTTAACATGGGTTCGATCGAACCCCAGGGGTTCGGTGAATCGGTCTCAGGGGTTCGACGGAGCTTCTGCCGTCGGGTTAAGACACACCCGACTCAACATGTCAATTAGTTATGATACGCCCACTTGGCCATCACTGGCTGCAGATGATCACATGACATTGCTTGTCTAATCAGTGCTGCGGGAAATTTAGTTCGCTCAGTAGTCAGCGTGTGACTGACGTGATAGTACGTCGTGTGATATGTTTTTAGAATTTTTTAATCCATGCTCTCGACCAAAAAAAATAAATTGATCGAACGAATGTGTACCACATGGATTCACATGCATCACAGAACGTGATGGGACTCGGCATCCTACCTGCATGATTTGTCATGCCAAGTTGAGCAACTCGAGTCTCGCACCGGCAAAACTGAAGGAAGACTTGTTGAATATGATTTTTACTTTTCAGTAATGAAGGGTTCGGTGAATGTGCATATGAATTGGTTGGGTTCGGTACCTCGAACAAGGTTAAGAACCACTGGAGTAATGACATATTTATCAAGGCATCACTCGACATTTTTGCCTCGGGACACAAGAGATGGCGGAGACGAGTGCCTGCGCAGCAGTAACCCGCCGATAAGACGACACTCCTTGAGCTCACACACAACAAGCCAAGGCACGATGTTAAGAATGGAAGTCAAGGTGTCAGTGCGGCAGGGTGCGTGGGGGTGGGGGGGTGTTAAATCCACAGATGTATTCCCCATGTGACATCTCTCTGCGGAGGCTTGCACATTCTAACAGCCGAAACTGCCTCCACAGGTCACCAGTGCATTCGCCTATCTCAATTTTACTTTGAAATGCTTTTTAATTCCTCATTAAGTTTGAGAGACTTGCTTTTTTTTTTTTTTTTTTTTTTTTAATAATCGGATTTGCTGGTGTGATGCCCTGACTAAAAAGATTGCACAGCAAATGTACGTTTTGTCACAGCGCATCGCAAAGGATCTCAGAGATAAATTATCTCTCTGCGCATGCTGAATTATACATGAAGAGCTGATTTGCCTGGCAGCCAAAACAAGATTTTCAAATGTCATTGCGCATTCTTGTTTTCTAGCATTAAAACGGCCGGACTTTGATTCTTTGTCAAGCTCCGCTTTTCCGTTTTAAAATTTCACAGATTGCTTGTTCCTGGAAAGAGGAAAAAAAAAAAAGACACTCTCACTTTACTTCCGTTGAGTTTTCAATTGGCTTCAGGGTGAGTTAAACAACTGTTTGCCTGCGAGTGCAAACAAATAATGCGTAGGGGGGAGCGTGCGGCGGTGACAGCGGCGTGCAATCTCCAATTGATCGAGTAGTAATTAGAGCCCAGCGCGACGATAAGGCCGGCTGAAAGTATCCCAATAACTCTGGAAATCGGCGTTCCAAATTAGCCCATCAGGAGCACTTGGCTGTTGTGGCATTTCTTCTTTCTTATTGCGAGGCGTAATAATGGCTCATGAAAACGGAAGCCGCGTACCATTCGGGAAGCAGTCAGCGTTTGCGAGTTTACAGAGGGCGGACGTGCAAGGAAACGGTCTCGCGTTGAAGGCAAAATGTGAACTTCGTAAACTCGGTGTCGTCATTTCAAGTTCAATGTGGATTATCTCCCAATAGGCCAATTTTCAGAAGTCGTTTTGGCTTGGCCGGCTCCTGCTGTTGCTGGACCGCAACGCGCTGCCAAGCGGCGAAATGTCCGTCAAACAGTTTCGACACAGATGAGTGAGTCAAGAGAAAGGCCCGACCCGATTGCTTTTGATTTTTTTTTTTGTTTTGTTTTGTTTTGTTTTTTTGGGAGGCGAGGTGACGTGCGGAAACAGTGTGGTGTTGAGAACATGGGTCAATACCAGCAGATGAGCTTTTTCAATTCCAAAAAAGGTGCAGTGTTTATCCTGCAATGAACTGTTATTTTGCACTCAGTGTCCTTTTTTGTGTTGTTATTTCGTAGAAAAGCCTTGTTTAGATATTTGAGGTATCACAAATGCAAAAAAAAAAAAAAGCTCTTTCTCTCAGAATTTTTCTTGGAAACGAGTATTTTCAAGAAACTTACCAATGTTCAAATGCTGTTTACTGGAGAACGGTAAAAATGTACTTTTTTTTCCCCTGATGAAAGAAGATGGTGAAAGCTTTCTTTTGGTAGGTTCCATGCTAATATAGCTAGAGAACTAAATTTTTGGTAGGCCTTCAAAATGTGTCCAAAATGGCGGGGCTGACCAGCTCCCTCAAAATTCGACCAAACAAGTGTGACATTAGTGCTTAAGAAGTGCCGTCCGTGTTAAATGTCTCTTTTATTTTTCTTTCTTTTTCCATGAAACATAAAAATAAGAAAGTTGATATGTTCAAGCCACAGGTTTGATTGTTTGCTGTCATCTATTTTGGAACTGAATGACTTGTCACACCTGTTTGGTAAAATCTGTGAAATTGAAGAAGTTTTTGTCGAATCCAATTCATAACCAATCGGCTCGCGTTGGTCATGTTTTGGATCCAACTGTTATTTTGAAGTGCGTGATGTCAGCGGAAATGTTTTATTGGAGTAGATGTTTGCAGTGGCAGGCAGCTGCAGACGTTTGCTGGCAAATCACCAGAGTGGCACAACATTGTAATAATTACAATTGCGAGTCATCGCTCGCTTCCAGGCCTCGAGGGCCTCCATATGTTGCCGAGTTGGCCCCGGCCCTCGTTTCCCTTCCTCACATTTCCTCCTTCGCCTCCTCTGCTCTCCTGCCAAGTGTTTTGGAGCGCTCCGCCCTTTTCCATTTCTCGCTCATCCCATGTTTGCTCTCGCCCTCGCCCCCCCCGCGTCTGCCGCATTCTCATTGCTGTGCGTCTCGCAGGTTAATTCCAACGCTTGCATTTCGGGCACTTAGCGGACGTGATGTACTGTCTTCCCGCCATTCCATTAAAAAAAGCTAAAGCCTTGCAGTTTTTGTTAAATTCATCTCCGGTGCTTGGATGTGGGAATTTGAGGACGTCAAATAAAAGCAATTGTGGCGAACAAGAGCGTAACTGACACTTTTAGCGAGGGAAAGGGACTCTGAACAACACTGCTGGCATTCCTCCGCCCAGCACCGGTAGTACGCTAATGAAAACACTAAATCTTCCTGACAAATTGTGTATCCAAATTGCAGGAAAATCCGCAGTCGTAAAATGCACAGCGTTGTTTAAGGGCCGCTACATGTACAGTGGTGTGTAAAATATGGCGCCGCTTCGTGTGGCCCGTATCTGCTTGATGGAACTCCTTTTTACGTTTTTTACATTTTTTTTCAGTATGTACAGAATTGCGATTTGGACCAATTGCAGGTGGGTCTGGAATGCGCTGTATTTGGTTTGTCACCTTTTCGGTTTGTGCCCCACCAGGTGTTCCGAAGTGGCGAAGGCATGGGCATCCGTCTGGACAGTGCCTCGGCCTTTCAGGGCGCCGTCATCTCGCCGCACTACGATTCTCTGCTGGTCAAAGTCATCGCCAGCGGCAAGGACCTGCCCACCGCCGCCTCCAAGATGAGCCGAGCCCTGGCCGAGTTCAGAGTGAGGGGCGTCAAGGTAGGACAGCCGACCCGAATGTTAAATGCAGTCAAACCTCTGGTCACTCAAGACCCTGAAGGATATTGGTGAACCAAACTTTGCTTCGGCTCACATTCTTCAGTTGGTAAAGGCAAGACAAGGCAAATGTATTTGCATAGCGCATTTCATTTACAAGACGATTCAAATGGCTTCAGGAAAAAAAAAACATTAAAAGCATGACAGAGAAAGCAAACTCAAAATAGAATCATCTAAAAAAAATTTCATTAAAATTATTAAAACCAAGCATCAGTGGAGACAAAGTAAAAGATGGCGTGCAAGGCTCAAAATAAGCGGTTTCACATCGCAGTTTTCAGTTTGAAATGAATATTTTGCGCCTCCTTAATATCTATTGAACAGCAAAAATGACACTCAAGTGTTGAGACAAGCGTCAAAAGAAGAAAAAGAAGCACCGAGACGCTCCCTTAAAGCTTCGTTGGGCTCATGTCCCCTACGCGCTGTAGTCGGGAGTTCGAGGGAAGCTCTGTTCTCGTGAAGCAGAAGCAGCGGGCTAGCAACAGCGGAGTCGTTCCTAAATCAGTAATTAATCTCTGCGGCAGTGAAGAAATTACATTTCGGACAAGAATCGTTCTCACAGAGGGATGACGAGAAAAGATACAGAGCCATACTAAATGCTAAGCTAACCTCAGAATGACACAGCTAGCGAGCGCTTGTGTCAACAATAACACTTTTTGAAGATGTCTGGCTAGAACTGCGTTCAAGCAGAACACTGAATGACAACAAAGTATCTTTTGGAGGGAAAAATCATACACGCTAAATTGAACCCGAACCGAAAACGAATTAATTTCCATTGGTTTACATCAGCCAGGCACGGACAAATGGACTATCAATAGGCCCTTTGCGGCTGAAGCCAGAAGGCAGCCATCTTACGTTCAAACTGTTATTGACGATGTGTTTTTGTTTTCGCTGAAAACACTGCCATCGAGTGCGTGTTTTACGCTAGGATATCTGCATGGAGTAATGAGAGAGACTCCAAGCATTCCTGTATACGTCCATATAGCCGAGAGAAAGGGCCTAATGTTGAAAGTATATTAATATCCTATAAAATATTTAGAATTGATCAATAATGTTGTTTGTTTTCATAGTTGAGTCCCGATTATTTTAGGTCTGCAACAATAAATGTTCTCAAAATGACATTACAGTGGAGCTTTTTTTCCCCCAATCAATTTAACTTTGCTTCTAGACAAGAAAATGAAATTTGCTACTCTAGACGAGATGAATGTAAGAAATAAAAACCGCTGCTTCTATTACGAAAAAGAAAACCAATTCATTATATTGTCTTTTTTTATTGTTTGATAAAAACCCTTGCTTCTTTGGGAAAGAAAAAAAAAAGTTCCACAAAGTTAGAAAGGTGCTCCTCAAATTAAGTCAATGATTCACCAAACGACTCCAAAGGAAAAAAAAAACTGATTTCGAGGCTTAGCCTGCAAATGGGGATTAAATTAAGACAATAAAGGATGGATTCATCAGAATGCTGCAGTAAACAATCATGTTTTCAGCCCTGATTCAAACGACGTGACGGTTTGAGCAGACCTCGGGTATTCGGAGTTTTTGTGCCATAGGTGAGGAACACAGGAGCTAAATCCTGCTTCACTTTGTTTGGTCCTGGTTCTGGACACACAAAATCGACCTGCCCCGAACGATCTGAGTGCTCTGGATGCTTCATAGGGTACGAGTACATCTTGCATGCATTGTTGTCCAAGGCCATTTAGAGAGTGACAGACCAGGAGTAAGATTTTATCATCTATCCTTTGACTCCAGGAAGCCGGTGTTGTGATGTGAGGATAGTTGTGATATGGTCCAGTTTCCTGGCGTTTGTAAGGACTCTAGCGGCAGATCATCCGCAACTGCCTGATCAAATTTATTTATTTATTTATTCTTTTTTTTTTTTTTTTTTATTAAGACCTGAAAAGACACGATGACAGTAATGTAGTCTACTGAAAATAAAAGGTTTTCTGTGTCTGTTTTGGTAAACAGTCTTGGCACCAGGTTTGTGTGCCGAGGTTTGACTGTATATACCTGTATCATAAAATTCAAACAAGGTTGGAGAGACTCTATATATGTGAACATAGAAAACCCCCAAACAACACATCACAGGCATACAATGTGTTGAGCGATTAATGAGCTTGCCTAAAGAACATCTTTGTCATGATGTTTTACGGTGTTTATGCAAAAATGGACTCTCTTGCCAATCAAAGTGGAGATTTTTAAAGGCCATGTCTCAAACAAATGTCAAATAAACACTTAGCGGTCTGTCATTTAATGTACACGTACAAATATCCACGATGAGAAAAGAAAGTTCCAGTATCCAGTTCAGTAGCCGTAAATTCTCCGCAAACCTCACCCGCATGAGTGAAAATGGCAGCCAATTGGAGTAAAATTTACATTTTCCACATTGACATGCCTACTTTGTGCCTTTTCCTCAGTTTTTCACATTATGGAGGCGTTTATTGAGGTCCGTGTGTCATGTTGAGTTGAGTTCATCTTCCACCTGGCGTCCCTGCTCCCATTTGTCACTGATTACATCTCCGCAAGAACAGCAGATGGGTGGCAGGTTCGCAGAATCTGGCGTGCTCGTTGCAGTGCCAACGGATGTTTCCGCATTTTCCCGTAATTGGGATGTATTTCCTCAAGCTGTATGCAAGCATATTGCATTGGAATCATGCTGAGCAAGTCATTAACGCAATTATTTGTGTGTATCGTTTTAGAGACGGCCCAAAGCGCAAGGCGTTAAAGGCATGCTTGGATAGGTTTGGTGTGGTGGATCTTGACCGGCCCTTACCTTTTAATGGACCGAGTCTTCTATTTTCACTCTTTTCCGTTCGCTGTGTTCATACTCTTTTAAACCGCATTATGTTTCGCAATTTTATCATCCGTAGTATGGGTTGCAATCATTTTGTACAAACCACTCTGTACAAACCACTTGAAGTCTCTTTTTTTTTTTTTTTTTTTTTATTAAGACCTGAAAAGACACGATGACAGTAATGTAGTCTACTGAAAATAAAAGGTTTTCTGTGTCTGTTTTGGTAAACAGTCTTGGCACCAGGTTTGTGTGCCGAGGTTTGACTGTATATACCTGTATCATAAAATTCAAACAAGGTTGGAGAGACTCTATATATGTGAACATAGAAAACCCCCAAACAACACATCACAGGCATACAATGTGTTGAGCGATTAATGAGCTTGCCTAAAGAACATCTTTGTCATGATGTTTTACGGTGTTTATGCAAAAATGGACTCTCTTGCCAATCAAAGTGGAGATTTTTAAAGGCCATGTCTCAAACAAATGTCAAATAAACACTTAGCGGTCTGTCATTTAATGTACACGTACAAATATCCACGATGAGAAAAGAAAGTTCCAGTATCCAGTTCAGTAGCCGTAAATTCTCCGCAAACCTCACCCGCATGAGTGAAAATGGCAGCCAATTGGAGTAAAATTTACATTTTCCACATTGACATGCCTACTTTGTGCCTTTTCCTCAGTTTTTCACATTATGGAGGCGTTTATTGAGGTCCGTGTGTCATGTTGAGTTGAGTTCATCTTCCACCTGGCGTCCCTGCTCCCATTTGTCACTGATTACATCTCCGCAAGAACAGCAGATGGGTGGCAGGTTCGCAGAATCTGGCGTGCTCGTTGCAGTGCCAACGGATGTTTCCGCATTTTCCCGTAATTGGGATGTATTTCCTCAAGCTGTATGCAAGCATATTGCATTGGAATCATGCTGAGCAAGTCATTAACGCAATTATTTGTGTGTATCGTTTTAGAGACGGCCCAAAGCGCAAGGCGTTAAAGGCATGCTTGGATAGGTTTGGTGTGGTGGATCTTGACCGGCCCTTACCTTTTAATGGACCGAGTCTTCTATTTTCACTCTTTTCCGTTCGCTGTGTTCATACTCGTGTGGTACAGCTGCCCAGTCGAAGGAATATAGTGGATACAGATTGCTGTCACGCAATCCAATTCGATCTAAAGCTTGTTCAAGCATCTGTGGTTGACATGTTGGCGAGTTTGGGGGTTGGAGGCATCAGCGTTTCCAGGCGTCGCGCTAATAGTTTGCTCCCCCTCACTGCGAGCTGCAATTACATTCGGCACCGTGTAAAGCTTCCTTTGATGGTAAGACTGCAATGAAATGACAAAGGGGGGGGAGTGACACCTGCATTATGGCAGCAGAATAGGCGAAGCGATGCTGAAGTAGCATTTCAGTCATGGCCAGGAAAAGTGGTGTTTTTTTGTTGTTGTTGTTTTTTTTTTAATGAATTTCTGGTTTCTTTAAATTGGACTTCAGCGTACAAATAATGGATGACTTGTATTACAGGAAAAGTCGGCATTTCTTTTTAAAGACTGAAGTTCAGCTCTGTCACTTAAATGTCACAATGACATCAGTGCCCCCTTGACAAATAACTTGACACAAGATAGATGCCCTTATTCCAACTGCCGCCAGACTCAAAAACACAATGTGCGGGGCGAGGTCTACGGGGATAAACGGGATTTAACCGTCGGAAATCGTCTGTGACAACGGGGTAGAGGAAATGGGAAACGGGTACTTGGGCGATACTGAATGACAAAATAGACGCGGGTGGAGGAGGTGGTGTCGCTGTTGTATTGTGCGCTGGTTTTTTTAGTCGTGCTACTGTAGAGTCATCACATTCTTCAGCAGTGCACAGGCAAAACTCTAAAGAAAAATAATCCAATCTTATCCATCCATCTGGGGTTGGGTGGACCGGTCAGCAACCCAAGCGGAGAAGTCCAGACTTCTTTCTCCCCAGCTAATTTGTCCTGCTCTTCCAAAGCAATCCCAACGTGTTCCGAGGCCAGCAGAGAGCCATTGTCTCACAAGGATCTCAGGGGTCTTCCCTGGGCCTCCTCACCAAGAAGCATCCTGAACAGAAGCCTGAGCGACCCCATCTGGCTCCTTCCAATATGGAAGACCAGCGGCTCGACTCCCGAATTTTTCACCCTATCTGAAAGAGCACCCCTACAGAGGAAACTCCGTTAGTCCCCAACAATCTGGCTCCTTCCAATATGGAAGACCGTCTGCTCTACTCCGAGTTTATCACCCAATCTGAAAAGGTACCCCTACCAAGGAATCTCCGTCAGTCCCCCACATCTGGCTCCTTCCAATATGGAAGACCAGCAGCTCTACTCCTGAGTTTTTCACCCTATCCCCACACACACACACACACCCCAATATTCCTGGAGCACTCACTACAAGACTTCTCCAAGTCCACAAAGACTGGTCGGGAGACGGTGAAGTAACTCCACACTCTCAGCAGTGTTCGGAATGGTGCATGGAATGAGAAGACAAAAAATGACAAGGCAAAAAACCTTTTTGGCTCGACAGATACTCTCTCGACCTTCTCTTTGCCCTACGTTCTCCGCTTTCACAACCTGGCATGCAATCGGAGCACAGCTCGAAAAAGCATCGAAAGCAAAACTTAGGCACCCTCCCGTCTCCCAGTGCAGCAGCTGGAACATCTCCACATGGTAATTTGTCATCAGAACGAGGAACCAGAAGACGTTAGGGGAGCGAAGCTGGGGTGAAGTAGAATGTGATGACCTTGCAAAAGAGATGAAATTTGATGAGTCGGAGTGGGGGGAGGGTGGCCTCTTTGCAGAGTTACGATCTGTCACGCAGCACGGGGGTCAAGCCGGGTTCACTCTCGGGTAGCGCAAAGGAGCCACCGCTGTCGATGACGGGTGCAATTACTCGGCGCCACTGCAGGAGCCCGCGTGGGCAGCGAGAATAAAAGAAAAACAAATTGGCTTGGTTTGAAAGTAGGCAGCGGATGATTCAGTCCGCCGCAAAACAACAGATAAAGAGGGGCGGGGATGCTTTGCTTTCGTCTGTCATTGTCACGCTGCCTTTGAGTACAATTTAAGAAGCGCGTGTGCTCTTGAGAAACATGCATGCATCAGACCACGAGTCTTGTCATTTAAGTTGGTTGATTTGCAGCTATAGAAACATTTTTTTTGTGTGTGTGTGTGTGTGTGTGTGTGTGTGTGTGTGTGTGTGTGTGTGTGTGTGTGTATATGTGGACCTGCTTTCGGCATCTCTGGATTCGTCAGATCTGCCAGTTCTCATTAAAACTGAAATTTTTGTGTTTCTTCAATGCTAACCCTGAAGCTCGGGTGTATATAGATACGCATATCAAGATCGACGCCGCAAATGCTCCCCTTTTCACCAACGCATTAAAAAAAAACAAGAATACCGTGCCCTTTATTCATACAGTTCATCTGCGCCAAGTGCCAAGCTCTGTGCCGCAGCACAATTAGCCCTCAACCGATTGTACTGTGTACATCCATAAGCATTTATGTGTGGGCACACTTTGGCAATTATGGGCCATTCGAGCGCTGAAGCGCGACCGCAGATAAGCACGTCCGCGCCGAGGAGGAGGAAAACAATGACGACGTTCGGCATTTGACGAGCCAAACGTGCGCGGTCGACAAAAGCCTTGTTGACGAGACTTCGCTGCTAGCAGACGCATCTTCGGGTCACCGTGACCCGCCCTCAAGGACCCGACATGAATTCGAATGTAAACGGGCGATCTCGTTCTTGTCCAAGTCTGCTTGAATTGAGACTTTGATTTGAGATGAGCGGCACTTTGAGCGATGACTACAGACTGACTATAGTCAATGTGTACACGAGGAGCTACACGAGTGATAGTCAATTGTTTGGGTGACATGAAGAGGCGCAATGTCGCGAAGAGCACCCGTCGTCGTCGTTGTTGTTGTTTAGCTTGCTCCCGAGAACAAAAGTCTTCATTCTTATTCAAATGAGTTTAATTACGGCTTCTGCAGTGGCATGAGATCGCGCCTGTATTCGCTAATTGTCTATTCAAAGCAAAAATCAAACGCGGACTCCCTGACAAAGCCCAAGGAACCACGCGCTCGAGCTGTAAGTGCTTGTTATTGCCTCTGTTTGTGGTGAAGTGGCTTTGTCGCGGCTTTTAACTCATTCGCCGCCAGTTATTTCAAAGCCGAGTTCGACTGATCTTTCGGGATCCACAGAATATTGTTCTGTGATGTTAGAAAAACCAAACCTACAAATCTGACTTCAATAGACACGAGCAAGGTGAGAGCCTCTTCCACGCCTATCCGCTGAAAGACGGAAATATACGTCAGTGGTATTGAACAGTTGGATTCCAGTTGGCGAATAAAAACGTCCGCGGAGGTGAATAGGTGAAGGCAACAGTGAGCATCCCGGCACAGTGGCTGACGCTCTTCTGTCTCGAGTAGCGGCAACGGGCTGGAATATTTTGCACCACTATGGTTTATTTGGCCTTAGGCAACTTGGCTCAGCATCGCATTGACCTTGGGCGGACAGATTAAAAAAAACAAAAAAGGGTTACACCTCGACAACGCCGTTCCTTTCCCCGTTTTATTGTGCGTGCCGAGCAGCTTTAATCGAAGGTGTGAGGCACAATGGTCCCCCGGGAGCCTGCCTCTTGAAATCTGGGAGCACTCTGTAAATATTGCCCAAACGTTGTTGTGCGACCAGAGATAACGAAGGTCTCTCCCGCTATCAAAGTGTCGGCATCTTTTGTAGGAGCTCCTTTTTTTTTTTTGTTCATTTATGTTGCTTGTATTTTTTTTCCCTGTTTGCAAGAGATTTGGGGATATCAGGTGCTCAAACTTCAGAGGAGCCGGCAACTTGTTGCTTGTGACTGAACGGCTTTTGCATGCATTGCCTCACATTTGTACACATTTATTCATTCATTCATTCATTTTCAGAATCGCTTCATCCTCACTCGGGACACGGGTCGCAGGGGGTGCTGGAGCCTATCCCAGCTGTCTTCGGGCAGTAGGCGGGGGACACCCTGAACCGGTTGGCAGCCAATCGCAGGGCACACAGAAACGAACAACCATTCGCACTCACACCCACAGCAAGGGACGATTTAGAGTGTTCAATCAGCCTGCCGTGGGTGTTTTTGGAATGTGGGAGGAATCTGGAATACCCAGAGAAAACCCACGCAAGCACGGGGAGAAGATGCAAACTCCACACAGGAAGGCCGGAGCTGGAATTGAACCCGGTGCTTTTGCACTGTGAAGTCAACATGCTAACCACTCGACTACCAGGCCGCCTGTACACATTTACTCAAGTCAAAATGAGTCAGACACTCGGAAGTCCAGAACCTCTTTCGAATCGTGACCCATGAATGAGCCATGAAAAAAAAAAAGCAATTGAAAATGCCCATGGCGTGTCTGATGGCGGAAGGAAAAGAAAACAGACGGGGGTGGGGTGGGGGAGAGGATAAAAGGTCACGCGGAGGAAAAACAAAGAGCCGGTCATTAAAGTGACCATGACAAAGGACAAATAGTTTCTCCTTGTCTTGCCCAGAAATGTGAATCCAACGGAAGGCCGTCATGTTGAAGTTGACGGCAAAACAGCCTGTGAAGACGAAAAGGGCGAAAAGGAAAACGGTGCATTCAGGCTACTCAATCACTTTCGCACCCTACGAGGTTAAATCTCTCCTCCGTTTTTTCTCCCTCGGTCCCTTCCACTTCTGCCCGCTATCTGATCTTAAGTGCACCGTGTCGTAATAAACCGCCTCCAAGCGACACGGCGATACGACTTGCTCGCGGATGCTCTCCACTCATCCTGTTCACCGCACGAAAGACTCACTCGCCGGCTTCCCGCACGCGATCCGCATCCCTGCGTCAGCCTCCTTTCCTTTCATCTTCACTCCAGACTTTTCGTCCCGGCCCCAACCTGCGACCCAGGAAGGGAAATAGCTTCATCCTTTTGAATATCTTCGTGACGTCTTGAGGACGCCCAATTAGTATGCCGCTCAACACTCTTCAGGACTGGCCCGACTGGCCCTCGTGCGGAACGCGCTCATGCATCCCGAGTGGGCGGTTGCCCAGGCGGCACACCGGAGGCCGTGCTGTCACGATGACAGGAAATGTCACACTCCCCAGGTTCCTTTGGCTTGGGGCGGACGTCCGCCATTAACGCTTGTTCGTGTTTGAGAGGTTACGTGCCTGTGTGAGCGTGTTCATTATTCGGCGTTTTGGATTATTCAAATCCAGGGGGGCCCTGGTTTCGCCTTGAGCGGAAAAAACACGGGACTCTTGAGTCACGATGGCGGTTCTGTTTTTAAGGTAGCTAAGCTAAACACACCTTTGATTCATAAACCCAATGGCTCTCATTCGCCCCAAAACGTCGTCATGAGACGGTCGATGCTCCATACATATAATTTTTATTTCATATCATGTCCAGAGAACAATATTGACTTTGGCAAAATGAAAAAAAAAAAAAAAGCAAGAGAACAATGGTCATGTTTGAAACGGATCATTGATGTCATCGTTTCTTTCCAGAGGAATCTCTGTCTTTGTGTTTTGTATTTTGCGCCTTTGATTCTGTCACCGGATTTTTTTCTGTTTTTTTTTTTTTTTTAATTTTTCCGAACATCATTCACAGAAAATTCCAGACAAGAGAAAGGCATAGTGCAACAAATACTATTATTTCGATGTGTGTGTGTGTGTGTGTGTGTGTGTGTGTGTGTGTGTGTGTGTGTGTGTGTGTGTGTGTGTGTATCTTTTGGACTTCCCGCTGATTGGAGCAGGAAGATGTTGTTCTGTTGTTGTCGAAACAAGGTCACAAGGTTTGTTTCTCCTTCTGTCCATCTTGCGATGCTTTTGCTCGGAAAACATTCACCGTTTCGTTGGAAATATTCCGCGTGGCACAAATGAAGTGTCAAAAACAACCCAAACATCGTCTCTATCTCACATTGGGTCACTTTCAGTCCAGGCTGCGAAATTAACGATGAATTCAGTGTAGTGTCGTCACTTTTCAATCACAGACACCTGCGTGTTGCGAAAAAAAACAAACAAAAAAAAAAATACCCCCACGTGGAACAGGAACAGAGGTGCTGGACTCTAAAAGTGCTCACATAGGCGCACATAAACACACACACAGGCACAGTGACACACATCCTGTCCGCGATCCTTCTTCGCATGCACACCAGAAGCAGCAGAGCAAGTTCGTGTCGCCAGGAAAAGTTCCATCCTACGCCGCCGCCATTTTGTAAATCCGTATCGACTGCATTGTATGCCCGCCGTTGTTTCATCGTGTCCGTCCGTGCTCGCGCCGGCGCGCATCGATTGATCGCGGCCAGCGCGCGCAGCTCGGCATTGATGCTCCTATAATCCGAAGGCGCATGGCCGGCCAAAGTTCAGCAGCCACAGAGGACGTACGCGAGTCACATTCTTTGTTGAGCCGAGTCCGAAAACAATTTGACAAAGTCCAGCCACATCGAAGCGTTTTGGAGTAGTTGTTGTTTTTTTTTTTTTCTCCCCTCTCGTCATCCCCCCCTGCAGTGTTGATCCAGTTCTGTGACGGTGCTTGATCCAGTGCAACCCTTTTGCGGTGTTGCGTGGGATGCGGCAGGTTCTATTAGCGTCGAGGCTTTGCTCGGATCCACGCTGAGCTCTTAACCCTTCCCGGCGTCTTTGTTCTCTCCTCACCTCTTCGATTGTTTGTCATCTTGAGAACTTTTTTTTTTTCCCCTGACTGGCTCTGTTGACCTGAATGCCATAAACGCCCCAAAGCTATTGACTAGATTTTTTTTTTTGTGTCTTGAAATCAATCTCTGTCCTGTCCCTCCTTCATCTTCAGATACAATCTTCCTTCCGTCATTTGCAGTCTCTACTTTCCCGCTGGCATTTTTACACCACGCTTTCCTCCAGCTCTTCGGCGCTCCTCCCATCCTTCTTCGCTCTCTCCCTTCCGGCGCCTCCCCTCCCGGTAGCCACCCCGGAGTTGGAGTTGGAGTTGGTTGTGTTGTAGGCGTGGATGTATCCGCGTTGAAACTCGCATTGCGCTCCGAAGGGGCCGGCGCTTTCGCCCTCGTCGCTGGTGGCGGAAGAGCCGGTGCTGGTGGTGGTGGAGGCGCACTGCACCAGCATCCCGTGGAGCGACTGGCTGCGCCTGGTCCAGATCACGCTCAGCCGCTTGGCGTAGCTGATGGCGCCGTAGCGTTTGGCCACGGTGGCGGCTGCGTCGGTCGCTAGGGCGACGGAGGAGCCCATGTCCAGCGAGTGGCGCCGTTTGCTGACCGTCCCGCGGGCGGGGTTGAGAGGGGACATGGGGCTCTGATAAGCCTGAGAGGAGTTCCATTTGTCCCGGCCGGGGGAAGTCATCCTCCAGGCCAGCATATCGGAGTCTCTCAGGGGTGCCGCCAGGGAGAAACTGGCGCGGTTGGTCAGCTCTCGCTCCAGACGCGGTTTGGGGCCTTCCCTGAAGCGTGACTGGCGGGGCAGGGTGGATGAAATGGAGGCGGGGTAGTCGATCAGAGTCCTGTCGCTTTCCGCGCTGTACGGCGGCGCTTTGTCCGGCTTCCGCTGCCGCACCACCAAGGCCATCTCCCCTCCCGCCCCCGCCGTGGTGGAGACCACGCCCCCCGCCGAAAGAAACTGCTCCAGGTTGACCTTCGGCTTGAGCCTCGGCTTCGGGGGCAGTTTTGGCGGCTGAGAAGAAGCGCAATCTGCAGGTTCCTTGTCCTTTTCGCCCTCCCCCGTTCTCTTGGAAGGCAGACCGTTCGGGAGGACCACCATCATCATGTCACCGGCGCCGTTGGACTGGTAGCAGCCACCGCCGTCTCCTCCTTTATCCCGTGCCGCCACGCCGCTCCCCTGACCGCAAAGCCCGCCTCCGACCTCTGCGTTGCTATCGCGACACAGGATGTGGTCAGAGTGATCGCACACGCGGTGGCGAACCATCAACGCCACCGTGAACACCAGGAGGGTGACCACCACCACGCCGCCCACTAAGATGGTCAGCGTTCCTCCCAGGAAGTGAGCCTGCAGGGAGCTACAGGCCGGGTAAACGTCCTTGGTGGAGAACGTGGTGCAGCCCAGCACTTTTGTCGCCGCCAGCGCTGTGATGGAGTCATCGTAAATGGCCAGCACGCACAAGTTGTAATCCACTCCGGACACCAAGTTCTTCAGCAGGAAGCGGTCACTGGTGGATGGCAGGATCCTGATGAGGGCGAAAGAAAAAGAAAGGTCATGCGTGCGCCGCCAACATTCCTCGCCGGCCGAATGTGAAACGGTGCCATGCGGACTGTTGTGGTGAGAAAATGGGAGGTTTTGAGAGAACCTGGGGGGCAAGGAGAACGCAACAGCCCACCAGTGAATACGGCACGAATTGAAAATGAGGCTATTGATGAAGCGTGCGCCCGGGGAGCGTGAAAAGAGAACTCTGTCTGCCTGCGTGTGCGTGCGCGCACGCGGCTCTTGCTCTCGAATTGCCCGAAGAAGCAAATGTTGGGCCATTTTGTGGGCCTCCGCACTTCATAAGAGGCCATTTTAGGTGCAGGCAAGATTACAGCAATGCCGAGGCGTTGTCGTGCGTTTGACAAAGTGTAATGTGTCAGCGTATTGCCACCAGGCAATAGTGTCATTGCCGACTGTAAATGTGGAATCGGCAAGCGCTTGTTTTGGCTCATATACGGAGAACCGGTGTCCATTTGTCATCTTTTTACAGCAGCCGCCGACGCTAACAAACCACGAGGTGCTGCGTTGTTGGACCTTGGATGTGTTTGTAGGATAATAGCTTGAGCACGTTTTGTGTTTGTGTGGCGTGTAGGAGAGCGGAGCACAGCTCGAGTGTCCCTCGCCGACGGCTACGACTTTGGCCCTCCGCCCTCACCCTCTTGTGTGGGCAAAAAGAAAACAAAAATGTTTGCGTCGTTGACAAAAATGTGAATCCTTTCGCTTTGTTTTCTAGTTTTCCTTCATCTCTTGGTGGCCGTGACCGCGGTGGGCTCTTGCTGCTTATTTGGTTTTGTACAGTGAAACTCCTCTACAACGAAATCATGTTTGCAGCAAGACATTTTTCACAACAGGGGGTTTTTTCACTGTAGCAAATTTGATCTCAGATGTAAACACACACGTACACACAAACATTTGTGTGCTCTTTATTTTTATATGAGCATACACTTATTTGACACTCATATAGTCAATCTAGAAAGAAAAAAAGGGAAAGAAGTTGCGAAATTTACGATCAGCATTCACTTTCACTTACATTATTGTGTTTTATTGTTTTTGTTATTGTAAAGTGTCCTTGGGTGTCTTGAAAGGCGCTTATAAATAAAATTATATTAGTATTATTATTATTAGATAAATTTCTTGGATAATGTCTTTTATTTCTGCTTCCTCCGTCTTTCATTTTGATCACTTTTACCCTCTCTTCCAGCGTCAGAGCTCTTCTTGTCTTAGCTGCTTGACATCCAAAGTTCCGTTTTGTAGCCATTTTAGCAATGCAACGTTCTTGCCGCATCTGAAACTAACAATAACAAGCACTTCCTGGACTACTGCGCACATGTAAACCAGTGTGGTGGTTGCTGTTGCCGTTTCCGAACGAAGCAGTAGAGGTCGCTGTTGGATTAGACTTCGTTGGAGTGAATCTCGTCACGAGGCAAGAGCAGAGAAAAAGATTTTGTATAACGCAACAGGGTTTTTTTTTTTCGTTGTATGTGGGGCGGGAGAGTGAGAATGTTGTTAATGCATGATTTTTTTTCACACTAGGGGGCATTTCGTTGTCGAGGAGTTTCACGGTATATGTGCATGGACCACATGAGTCACATGACTAATAAGCCTGAAATGATGACACCCCCCGCCCACTAGTTTTTCCCGTGATGCAAAATGAAGTAACGCTATGCCAGTCTGTGGCTAATCTGAACAGCTTCCTTGCGCAAGCGGCCATGTCCAGATGTCATTAAGTCACCATAGATTGACATCCGATGCTGACAGAAATCCACTTAGGAACTCCTCCTACCCCGTGGAGGCATGTGGTGTTGCCATGGCAAAGGTTCATTACTTGGCCCAATAGCGCAGCACTCGAAGTGAAAAGAATCCGACGGCACAGCTCACGTGATGGAACACGGTCGTGACAACGCTGCCGCAGAGTGTACGCCAGGCGGGAAAAGTGGCGCCCAAGTGGCTTTCCGTGTTCCCAAAAAAACATAAAAATAAATGTCGAGGACTCTGCACTGCATTTGAAAGTCTATCCAAGTGCCGTTTGATTTGTATTCTGCGCAAGCGGGGCATACTGTGCCAATGCGTTTGCCGCGTGGATTAAAATAAGCATCCCGGAATGCTATGCATGCAAAAGTGGGCCGCGCAGAAACACGCATACACCTCGAGTCAAGCCTTAAAGTCGTTTTCTTAGTGTGCCATGTGTGCCCCCCCCCCCCCTCTCTCCATCGTTTGGATTGGAATCATTCCCTGTTAAATGTGTGCTCCGCCTCTGGTTCTTTTAATTTTTTTTCCGTTCCGACCTTTGTCTTTGTCTCACTGCCCCGCCTCTCACCTCCAAGCTGTTTCTACCGAAAGCCACAAATCCTTTTGTCTTTCCTCGCCGGACGCTTCCTGACCTCGCGCCTTCTCTCTGCGCCTTTTTTTTTTCTTCCCCCACCAGACATTGCGCTACATCTCCATTAGCCGCGGCTATATCTGCGCGTGCCATTATTTAACAGCCAAGGTCGCGTCTTCTCCATTCTCTCCTCCCGGCGATCATTCTTTCTTTAGCTCTCTCTCCACCTTGCCGCTCCCTTTCCCTTCGTCTTATATTTCCTCTTTGTCCACTCTCCCTATATCACCGCTTTTATCTTCCACCTCACTCCTCTTTTTATGAGGCTGTGAATCTCTCTCTTCTCCCCACCACCTGAAATGTACAGACGCCATTCATTGAAATGCCACCGTTCTTGTCATCGCGTAGCGTTTTCAACTTTTCACAAGCGGGGTTGGCAAATTAGACCTCGGACGTGACCCAAAGTGCATCGATGAAGTGAATGGGCGGACATTTGGGATATAGCATCACGTGCCGGGTGTGTGCACCCGTGTTTCTCAAATGCTTCTAATTCTGGTTAATCCCCCGCTGAGGCACACTGACACACACAAACACAGATGTCGGTGGGGGGGG